AATTTGGCTAATTACGCCCACTTCTGCTAAGAAAACACGACGAGCTTTGAGAAAAGAAAAGGAGCGTGAGAAAGTGGGACGGGAGCGAAAGCCTTTCGTGGATGATGAGAAAACGAAAACAGAGTCAGCTTTTGAAGCGATGTGCTCGACGCGACGACGACGTTCTAACTTCAATGGCGGCGCTCTTATCAATTCGAGATATGCTCCAGAATTCGAAGCTCGGATGTGTGGATGGTGCGGGATGGAATGGGCGAGGGGGAGGATGGCTTTGGATAGCGGGGCGGGGAAGGGAGGGGGCTGGTTGGTAAGGGTGCGCGGGCCGCGGAGGGGATTTGGCAGGCGATTTTGTGTGGTATGGGGGGGAACAGCGCGGGGGAATCAGAGATATTGTGCGGAAAAGTGACCTGCGCAGCGAGCTACTGAATGGCAATTGCGCACGCGCAGCGGAGGGCTGGACTGACTTGTTTTTCTTTCTTTGAGGTCATAAATTACAGTCAGCACTCCATGAGAAAGGGAGTGGGAATTTCTGTAATGAGGGAGTAAAAGATGGCGACAGGTTGTATGCTGCAAGCAGAGCATTACTCCTGCCCTGGAACTGCCGAAAAGCTAGCATATTACACTACCCCAAAAATCAAGGTGGGGTTGAGAAGAAGTGGTGCGGAGACAGGCATTTCACACGGCAGTTCTGCACAGTACACCTGTGCTCATTGCAACAGCTACGCATCCCTGGCTCGGCATGATGCATCATCATGGTTCTCTGTGTCACCCATCTCGAATGCTGGTGAACGACACCACCACCGTCGCGGGGAAATTGGGACGGGTTCGGGGAGGGGAGGACGTTGACACTGGCGCACGCAGAGGGAGGTGCGCGGGAGTGTTCAGTGTGTTTCTTCTGGAGTGAAGAGGAGGGGTGAGGGGGATGAAGTGGGGGGACTGGATGGGAGGAGTCAATGGATGGACGAGTCCATCGAATTGTGGTGTGGCAAGCTTGTGGCGGTGGCCTTGGGGTTTTTGTTGGTCTCCGTCCCTGTCTCTTTCACCTCGAGTTTTCGTCGACTGTACTCCACAACTGGGCGAGATGGTTGATTTGTGCACAATGCCCATCAATGACGGCTGACCGTGGGTTGGTTCCGCAACGGGGGAAACTGCTTTCTCAAGAGGAAACGACGAATTGCATGCATTGCATCCCATCCCGCTGGACGACGCATTTGCGTGCGTGATGTATGTATGAGTGGCTTGCCATCATGAATCTCGTCCAGCGAAGCACCGCCATACCCGTTGTGGGAATTTCACGACCAAAAACGACTTGAAAACCACCTGCGCCATTGTTTGCCCTCGTCGTTGAAGGGAAATTAGGACTGTGAGTGCAAGCCCAGTTTGGCAGACTTGGCAGGGACATGACAGCCTTGCAAATGCCTGCTTTAGGAGGGAGAGGCCGTCGTAGTCATAAAGCATACAAAACTGTACCACTAGGGTCTACGAGCTATTCCCGACATGTAGTGTACGTGAAAAGGGGAACTGCAGTGTCAGTTTACACTGCTAAAACCGAAGTTGATGCATGTCATTCATCTGCACTTATGCGCACGAACCGTCATTTAATTCAAATGTGCGCGAATCTTGGATACGCGCGAAGAATCCGATTTGCTGATGTAATGCAACCAAAATCAACCGCAGCAAACCAAACCCCCTTGTTGTTTTTCCTCGCCCTTTCGCGAGCGACCTCCAGCAGCCCACGCCCAATATAAGGTTGATATGTTTAGCATATACAGTCGGCTTTGTCATAGGAAGCACAAGGATCCATCATAACCATAATCACATGATACTGGAAAGGCAAACAAGGTTGCTAGTGACATTCCCCTCCATTGCTAGCTTGGAAAAAAGGTATAAAGCGCTGAATCCACTCATCTATACAAGTATATTACAATATAGTAGATGTTTCCAAGTCCTCTACTCACCAGTTCCTCGCAGCCTTGCTGCTGCAGCTGCCATTGTGGCACTCATACGACTAATGATTGCAGTTGCCGATCCCTCTCCACCAACCACTGTCAACTCGTTTCTTACTGTAATTTATTTACAAGTTCTGCTGCCACCTCCATCACTGCTCCGTATAGTTGCTCCAACTACTCAGTTTCAGAATCCTGTTCCTGCAGCTACGCTTGCTGTTGCCCTTGCCATTACTGCTTATGCTTCTCCATTTCTACTTGCTACTGCTTCTGCCCCGTTGACCACTACGTCCCACACACCATAGCCTCCAAGCTCCTACGCTCTCCCTCTTTGCCATTGCTGCTGCTGCTAAGCTCCGTGATTTTCCTAACCTGCACCACCGAGTTAAATGACACCCGCCGCTTGTGCCCAGACCCGGCAACAGGATCGGGACAAGCCTTGGGAACAGGCTGCGAGGCAGCCCGAACCATGCTGTGGTGGACACTCGGGAGTGCCTCGGAAACGGCTCGCAGGTTCGGATTCGAGGACGACTTGGGGTGAATGGATGGAGGGGAGGTGTGGAGATCGGTGGAGTTGGTTCCAAGTGGATAACCTTCAAACACGTCAGAGTGATGGGGAGTTGCAGCAGAGTCCGGGGGAAGAGAGGGTTCGGATGGAAGGGAGGGAAGGGAAGAAGGTGAGAGGAGGGTCTGACGGACTTTAAAGCTGCCGTGTTGCTGTAATATTAATGACTGCTGCTGCTGCTGCTGCTGCTGCTGCTGCTGCTGCTGCTGCTGCTGCTGTTGCTGCTGCTGCTGCTGACACTCCTTCCGATGCAAGTTCTTTCCTTTCCCCGTGCCCCCTCTCAACCTCTCCCCTTCATCTCCACTCCCCATCAAGCTCCAGTAGGCTTGGCAAGCGGGGTGACTTTTGAGTCGACTCAAAAGTCTCCCCATCAAGCTCCAGTAGGCAGGGCAAACGGGTACTGTTCAAATTCACCTCTGCCCGTGACTCATGATGACCCTGGTACTGTTCAAAATCATGGGACTGGTACTGTTCATGGTGGTTCCGGTACTGTTCATCCTGCTCCCACTGCTTTGCTGACCTGGCAACAGCCGACCGCACTCGAGACGAGGCCAGGGCTCTCACAACCAGGCTGTTGCGAACGCCGTTAACATCAAGGGTGCTGGTGGTGACATTGATTCGCCTGCTGCTGTTGGTAGCACTGCCAGTAACATTGCTGGTAGCATTGCTGGTAGCATTGCTAGTAACATTGCTGGTAGCATTGCTAGTAACATTGCTGGTAGCATTGCTAGAAACAATGCTGGTAGCATTGCTAGTGACAATGCTGGTAACGCTGCTGGTAACATTGCTGGTAGCATCGCTGGTAACAGAAGCAGAGCGCACTCGAGGCGAGGCCAGCGCTCTCACAACCAGGCTGTTGCGAACGCCGGTAACGTCAAAGGTGCTGGTGGTAACAGCCGTTCGCCTTCTGCTGGTGGTAGTGTTGCTTCTGGTAGCGTTGCTGCTGGAGACAGTGCATTTGCTGCTGGTAGAATTGATGGTGGCAGAAGCAGAGGCAGGTGCGCACACTGCAGGAGAAGCATCCGATGCAGCCAATAGAGCTGCAGCTGCAGCGGGTGCAGCTAAATCAGGTGCAGCTAAAGCAGGTGCAGCTAAAGCAGGTGCAGCTAAAGCAGGTGCAGCTAAAGCAGGTGCAGCTAAAGCAGGTGCAGCTAAAGCAGGTGCAGCTAAAGCAGGTGCAGCTAAAGCAGGTGCAGCTAAAGCAGGTGCAGCTAAAGCAGGTGCAGCTAAAGCAGGTGCAGCTAAAGCAGGTGCAGCTGCAGCAGGTGCAGCTAAAGCAGGTGCAGCTAAAGCAGGTGCAGCTAAAGCAGGTGCAGCTGCAGCAGGTGCAGCTAAAGCAGGTAAGGACAGTGAAGCAGGAGCAGCATACAGATCACCAAACCGGTAGGCATCCAGATCATCCGAAAACTTATGCACCGCACTCAATTCATCCGGAACCCTCTGCTCCGCACCCAGAGATGCCATTTTCCGGAGAACCCGGGGACGGGGTTGCCGGGACGGAGAGAGCTGATCCCCTGGGAGACGGACAGAGGGAGGAGCAACGGCAAGGGGAGCAGCAGGGCGAGCGAAAGGGAGAGCCGACTTTTGAGTCGACTCAAACTGGTGCAGGGACGGAGGAGAGGGCTGATCCCCTGGTAGACGGACAGAGGGAGGAGCAACGGCAAGGGGAGTGTGTTTTGAGACGTCTCAAAACATCTCTTTTATCAAACTGGTGCAGGGACGGAGGAGAGGGCTGATCCCCTGGTAGACGGACAGAGCGAGGAGAGACAAGGGGAGCTTTGAGACGTCTCAAAACATCTCTTTTATCAAACTGGTGCAGGGACGGAGGAGAGGGCTGATCCCCTGGTAGACGGACAGAGCGAGGAGAGACAAGGGGAGCAGGGCGAGCAGGGCGAATAGCAGGGGGAGCAGCTGTAGCGGTATCAGGCAGTAGTGGCTGTTTGGGCAAGTAGGCTGCTGCAGGAAGAGTGGCCGTGGCAGTATCAGGCAGAAGGGGTGGTTTGACGTCGTGAGGCGTAGAGGAGTCCTGGGACCATGTAACCATGGGAGCTGGGAGCTGGGCGTGTAACCATGTGGGGAAGAAGTAGAAGGGGGAACACCGGGAGGAGGAAGGAGAGGAGCAGGGGGAGGAGCAAGGGGAGGAGCAAGGGGAGGAGCAAGGGGAGTCGTTGTGTCAGTGTTTGCCATAATTTGTTTGACTGTTGCGCCATCGCCCCCTGTAACACCCTCTCCCTCTCCCCACGCCTCTTCTGACCACTCTCTCTTCAACCATTCTTCCTCCTCCTCCTCCCACTCTCGCGCCTCTTCCCACTCTCCCTTTACCCACTCTTCCTCCTCTTCCCACTCTCCTTTCAACCACTCTTCCTCCTCTTCCTCCTCTCCTTTCAACCACTCCTCCTCCTCTGCCCACTCTCCCTCCTCCCTCGTTACTGGATCGTAGCTGCTGCCCTTTCTTCCACTGTACAGGTCTGCAAAAGCTGCCCCCCCAACACATGCACCTGCTTCCCTTCTCCCCTCTTTCTCTCCGAACCTGGGCCTCCTCTTCACTACATCTGCTTCTACCCCTCTCTCTCGCCCCCCCCTCACCATATCTGCTGTTTGGGAACGCCGAAGGACCCGCTCCTGTCCCCCTAGCATCATCCCTCCTCTGCCTCCCCTCCCTCCTCTTCCTCCTCTTCCTCCTCTCTCTCCTCTCCCTCCCCTCCCAGACCCTCCCCTCCCTCCTTCCCTATCCTCGCCTCTTCCCTCCCCTCGCCTCTTCCCCTCCCCTCGTCTCTTCCCCTCCCCTCGCCTCTTCCCCTCCCCTCGCCTCTCCCTCTCCCCACACCTCTGCCCCTCCCCCCGTTACTTCGCCTCCCCGTTCCCTTTTGTCTGAAATCCCCCCCCATTATTCTTTCCCCCCTCCCCCCCTCTCTCCCATCCATCCCTTGCTGTTCCACCCCCTCCTCTCTTCTCCCACTCATCCCCGCACCCCGCTCACCCCTTCCCTCTTCCCTTCTCCCACTCCCCCCCTCCCCCCTTCTAACTTCCCTTCTCCCACTTCCCCCCTCCCCGTTTCCCTCTTCCCTTCCCCCACTTCCCTTCTTCCCACTTCCCTCTTCCCTTCTACCACTTCCCCCCTCCCCCTTTCCCTCTTCCCCTCTCCCACCTCCCCTTTCCACCGGCTCACTCAATGCACGAGCCATTCGCCTCCTCTCACACCAACCACCCCTCCCTCCCCTCCCTCTAACCCCCCTCCACTTGCCTCTCCCCTCCTCTCCCCCTACCTTCTCCTCTTCCTCCTCCCCCCCTCCCATATCCAATCCCGCTTGGCCCTCCCCCCCCCCTTCCTTCCCCCCTTCCTCCCCCTCTCTCCGTCTCCTCTTCCTTCCCTCCTCCTCGCCTTTGCATCCTCCACCCCTCTCCTCTCTCCACCCTCCTCTCCTCCACCCCAGCACTAGCAGGCCTGGCACTTTTAAGCGTCACTCTTAAACTCTCCGTTCGTCCAAGCTGATTTGCCCTACTCGCATTCCCAGAAGCAGTAGCAGAAATGTACCTTTCATCCCTATTCTCCTCCACCCCAGCACTAGCAGGCCTGGCACTTTTAAGAGACACTCTCAAGCTCCCCACTCGTCCAAACCCGTTTGCCCTGTTCCCATTCTCATAATCAGCAGCAGCAGAACCGGGCCTTGCACTTTTAAGCGTCACTCTTAAACCATCCGCTCTTCCAAGCTGATTTGCGCTGCTCCCATTCTCATTCCCAGCAGTACTAGTAGCAGGCATCTCACCTCTAAGCATCACTCTTAAGCTCTCCGCTCGGGCCAGCACCTGAGCCCTGCTCACAGCAGAGGGGGCCCCTACCTTAGCCATTTCCTGCCCTACCACATTCCGCATTTCAACCCCCCCACAACTGCCCCTCCTCTGTAATCTCCTGCCACTCCCCCGTTTTTTCCTCTGTCCCTTCCCTTCCTTCCCGCATTTCAACCTCCCCACAACTGCCCCTCCTCTGTAACCTCCTGCTCTCTCGGCTTTCCTCTGACCCACCTCCTTCCCTCTGCATTTCAACCTCCCCACAGCTGCCCCTCCTCTGTAACCTCCTGCTCCCTCGCTCTTCTCCTCTGGCGTCCCTCTCTCCCTTACTTCCCCCACCTGCAATGCTCCTCTCAGGCAACTCAAAGGTCACCTTCCCAGACCCCTCCTGCTGCTGGTGCCCCGTTGAGTCCCTGCAATGGCCTTGCACAGACTGCCCCCGCCTGTGCTGCTGCCCTGTCGTGTGGGCTCTTCTGAACACCCGACCTCCACCATTACTTCCCCCTTCTGCCTCTCCCCCTGCGATTCCCCCTCTCGCCCCTAACCAAGCTCCTGCCCCTACCGCCGTCCCCTTTTGAGTCGACTCAAAAACTGCCCCGTCCGCCGTCCCCTGAATCCCCTCCCTTCTCCCACTGCTCCTCCCTCTCCACCCCCTCTCGTCATCGCTCCCTCCCCGTTCACACTCCTCCCACTCCCTCCTCTCCCTCCTCTCCCTCCTCTCCATAGTCCTGGCCCCTCTAGCAACCTTAGAAAGCCACACACTCCCCCCCTCCTCCTCCTCCCTCCTCCTCCCCATCACCCCCCTCCTCAGCCCACTCAGCCACCCACCCCTCCCATCAGTGCAACTCATCTCACTGCCGCCCAACTCACGGCTGTCCAGCTCACTTTCAGCCAAATCGCTGCCAGCCAAATCGCTGCCGCCCAAATCGCTGCCGCCCAAATAGCTGCCGCCCAAATCACAACCACCAACCGCCACATCTGCAAGACCCCTATCCCCATCTGATGCTTCCCCTTCCTCAACCTTCTCCCTTCCTCCTCCCTCTCTTTTGCACGTCTCCCCTCTTTCCTCCTCCTCATCCCCCACAATTGGCCCTCCTGCATCTGTGATAAGTCGATTGTTGAGCCCTCCTGCCTCTCCTGCCCACACCACCTGCCTCCTCGCTTCCTCCTCTCTCACCTCCCTCCCCTCCTCCACTCTCCGCTCTTCACTTCCCTTTCCTTTCACCTCTCTCCCTCCCACTCTCCTCCCTCTCTCCCGCCCTCCTCCCCTCCCTCCTCCTCCACACTATGCGTCCTCACAGGGCCCCCACCCAGCCCACACACGCGCAGCATACCCAACGAAGCAAGAATACGGGGCGATATCAACGAATCACTCCGGCCCCTCCGCCTCATCCCTCTCTTCCTCCCCTCTCCCTCCTGCCCACTGCTCTTCTTGTCCCACCCGTGGGTGCCAAGCACACGAGGAGAGAGAAAGTCGCTTCTCTTGCTCTCGTTCCCGCTGCTCTTCCCGTCACAACCAGGTGAAACAAGGCTGTGAGGAGAGATTAGGCTACTAGCCTGCCTCTCATGCTGCTCCTCTATGCTCTCTATTGAAAAATCTTCACTTCTCCGCTTCTCATTTTGCCCTGTTCTTGAGAATTCGCTTCTGCTCCTCTCATGCTTGCTCCCCCTCTTGCTGCTTCCGGTGAGGCTCCCGAACCTGCCGTGCCCGAACCTGCTGCTGCCGAACCTGCTGCTGTTGCCGAAGCTGATGCCGCTGCTGCTACCAGAGCTGCTGCTGGCGCCATGGCTATTGGGTAGTGGGAAACAAGCAGCAGCAGCATTGTCACTTTCTGCATCAGCAGCAGCAGCACTCACAGAAGTATTACCAACCACGATAGCACCTGCATTCGCCTCCTCCCCTCTTCTCTTACCACCTGAATCCTCCTCTTCCTCCTTCCCCAATTCCTCCTCTTCCTCTTCCTCCTCCTCCTCCTCCTCCTCCTCCTCCTCCTCCTCCTCCTCCTCCTCCTCCTCCTCCTCCTCCTCCTCCTCCTCCTCCTCTGCTGATTCTTCCTCTCTATTCAACAATGCTTCCCTCTTCCCACCTTCCTCCCCATCCCCATTTTCAACAACACCACCATCAGCAGCATGTGCATTCTGGTTACAACCGCCACGATACAAACCAGGTGCCTGCACCATGGGAGCGTCAGGTGCTTCAGGTGATTCAGGTGCTTCAGGTGCTTCAGGTGATTCAGGTGCTTCAGGTGCATCAGATGATTCAGGTGCTTCAGGTGCTTCAGGTGATTCAGGCGATTCAGGTGCTCTTCGTGGTGATGCGCGCCAGTCAGGTGGAACCAGGCGAGATGCGGAGAATTCAGAAGCACCAACCAGGTGGGATCTGGGGGAGGGAGATCTGACGTGGTGGGGGGAGCATGTCATTAGAGACATTTCAACATTTGCTGCGAGCAGTTGCAATCTGGGGCAGGGGGATCTGACGTGGTGGGGTTGGGGGGGCAATGCCATTTGCGGCACCTCGAGTTTTGCTGCACCCAGGTGGGGTCTGGGGGAGGGTGATTTGGTGAGGTGGGGGAGGTATGGCGGGGGGGAAATCTGAACCACCATGCTGAGTGCATCATTCTCCTCCTCTTCCTCCTCTTCCTCCTCCTCCTCCTCCTCCTCCTCCTCCTCCTCCTCCTCCTCCTCCTCCTCCTCCTCCTCCTCCTCCTCCTCCTCCTCCTCTCCCACCTCTACCCTCTCTCCACCTTCCCCCTCTCTTTCTTCCTCCTCCTCTTCCCCTGCCCACTGTCTGTCTGCCACGTCACACCCTGGGACCTCCTCTTGCTCACTAAAGTGCTGACGTGGCGAGAGCTGACGTGGCAGCTGCTCCTGCTGCCACTGAAAGCTTTGCTTTTGGCTGGGGCGGAAAGGGGAATCGCGGGCAGGGCGGGGGGTCTCCAAAACGCCGAGGGGGGAATCGGGGGGGAGGGGAGAGCGTGGGGTGAGCGCTGAGGAAGTTAGAGGCGGGAGGATGAGAGAGTGGGGAGTGAGTGGGATCGGGTGTTCCTCCGATGGCAAAAGGCTGAGATTGAGAGTGCACGCCCGTCTCCCAACCTCCTTCCCCTCCTTTCTTTCCTTCCCCTCCCTCCCCTCCCTCTCCTCCTGCTCCTCCTCCTCTCTGCACACCGAATCCGCGTTACAAGATTCTTCCATATAACCACGTGTCCCTGAGCTACTATTTATCTCACCCTCACTCTTCCGCTTGCCCTCCCCCTCCTCTCCTTTCTTCCTCCCTTTCTTCTTCTTCCTTCCCCCCCTCACCACACTCACTCTACACTCATCAGGTGTCACATCCACCCACTCACTCACAAATACCTCCGCACCCCTTTCTCGATTTAAGCACTCTCGATGTAGGAACATCCCCTCCTCCCCAACACTCCCAGCCCTCCGCATTTTCCCGAGCCTCCACTGAAACTTCAACCCGCTGCTTCGGCCGAGGCTGCCGTTCCCGAGCCTTTGGTTCCCCCCAGCACCGAACCTCGAGAGGCTGTCGCTACCGAACCTAGGCACGCCCCGTCTGCCGAACCTGGCGAAGCTGGCACTGCCGAGCCTAAGAACGCCACTGCTGCCATCGCCACCCACTCTCTGCTCCTCATAGCTGCTCCATTGAATTTCAGGATTCGGGTTGAAGTAAAGGTTAGTATTAGTGTCATAATTTTCAAGAGTAGTATTGGTGTGCGTAACTATTGGACTCCCATGGTAGGGGGCGGAACTAGGCCGAACTTGCTGCTGCTGCTGCTGCTCGTTCTGAACCTTTTCAGAAAGCCCGTCGGCTGTCATGCTGCGAATGTCATCCAAAGCCTGCCGCCCGCTTTCCTGCCACCCATTTAACTGCCGCCCGCTTTCCCGCCGCCCGCTCTTCTGCCGGCCGGCGATTGCACGTCCTGCACTCTGCATGAGCCGTGCTGCTGCTCGTTCCTTCCTGGTGACTTTCCCAGAAGCAGCAGCAGGAGAGGCCCCAGAGGAGGCAGCAGCATCAGCAGCACCACCGCCAGCAGCAGCAGCGGCGGCGGCGGCAACACAGGTTATGGCTAGATCGCCATGGCAATGCTCGTGGGGATCGTTTTGAAAAGCTTCGCTCCACGCAAGATCCATACTGTCAACGGCCCGATCTGCACCGTCCACGGCCCGATCTGCACCGTCCGTTCCTCGGTCCGTCCCATCTGCTGACAACTCACACATCCACAGCCCAGAGCCACCACCATCAACGCCACCGTTGCCTGTGCCTCGACTCAACTGCGCCAAACCTTTGCCGTGAGTTAACCGCGCCGAGCCATCTCTTCCGCTTCCTTCCCGTCTTTCCATTCGTCCTCCGATCCTGCCTTCCCCTGCTTCCGCTCCCGTCGCCGCTTTATCCGCCACCTCCCCCGCTTCTCCCCTTTTCAGTCCCCTACCCCCCCTTTCTCCCATCCCCGCGTCTTCCGCCGCATCTGGCGGCGGAAAGGGCGGTTCCGCGTCACCGCTCCTTGACTGCCCTCGTCGAAGCGCGCCCGCCGCCTTCCTGCTTCTATTCGCGCCCACCTGCGCGGGCCGCCACGTGGCATTCGATGATTGGCTCGAGCTGCTGCCCGGGGGAACATCCGCCTGGCTGGGACTTCCGCAGGGGGAAGGGGCGTCGGGGGAAGCGGGAAACGGCGCGCGCGGGTGAGAGAACTCGGGGGAGTGCGCAGTGGCGGAAGATTGCGCGCTGGGGGAGAGCTTCTCGGAGGAGGCGGGGGATGGCGCGGGGCGAGGGGAGAATGCGCGGGGGAAGGGGGAACGGGGGGAGGGTCCGGGGCCGGGGCTATTAGGGTGCGTAATGGCGGAGGGCCCAAAAGCGGATGGTTTTCCGCGCGCGCCGGGGGCGGCGGGGGAGCGTGCTGGCGGAGCGGTGAGTCGCGGGAAGCGCGCCGGAACATCCGCGGCAGCGTCCGCGGGGTCAGACGGGGAGGACTGGGCGGCTTGCGGAGGTGCGAGGGGGGACCGACGGGGGGCGGAGCGGCGGCGGTACGACGGGGAGCGCGGGCTCGGGGGAAGCTCGATGTGCAAAGCGGCGGCTGGTGCGCGAATTAAGGGATGTGGTGCTTTCGAAGTCATTTGCGACGACATTCGCGACGTCTTTCGCGAAAGCCTACGCGGCTAAGAGACCAGAGATTGCTGCGGGGGTGAGCGCGGGAAGGAGACTGAGCGCGAGGAATGCGCGGAACGGGGGGAGCCCGCGGAATGGGGGTAGCGCGCGGGACGGGCAGAGCGTGGGGATTAAGGGAGCGAGCCGCGCAGCAGGGCGAGGGAAGAGGGGGGGGGGGGGGGGGAGTGTGCGAAGCACGCCGTCCGCCGCTAGCACCAAATTCGGCGACGCGCGAAGCGACTTGCGCTTCTCCCCAATCCGCTCGACATTCCCCAGAGGCCTTTGCGCGGACTTAAACGGGAACCGCTCCGCCTGCTCGAAAATCCCCAGGGGAACGCGGACCCTGCAGCCGTGCAAAGCCCGCTACTAGAATCAAGCTCTGCATTTCCAACAAATCGTTACCGTTTGCGCAACGGCGTCACGAATTCAGACAACTGCGCGAACGACGTACGTCGTTAGGAATTAACATTCTAACTGCATCAGCGGGGTCCTGGGCGTTGCGGGCTCTGCGGCTTAGATTATGCTCCTAAAAACCGTTTGCGAACATACAGTGCGTCGATTCGTGGCAGAAGTGTTGGCTACATGGGAGTCACAATTCCCCAAGCGGATCGCTTTCTTCTCCCAGATTCACTCTGAAACACCGTCGGAAAATGACATAAACGAAAGAGGGAGCAGAGAGCCCAGCCCACACTACCAGCTTCTGTTGGTGCTCGTTTTTTTCATACGTCCCCGTCCGTTGTGGCGCATCCTTGATTTTTAGTGAGATAGCACCTCGATTTTCAAGTGGACGTCGCAAGTGCGCGTTCAGCGGAGGGTTTCGGCTAGCGATGGGATTTATAATACCTATACACGTGTCACGGATTAGGCACGGTTGGCAATAAACATGTTTGAAACCAGAATAAACGCCGTTTTTCTAAGCCATTCTGCTTTTGTCCACACTCGCGAGACTGAATGATGAACTGGATGCTATGCTTACTATGCCTCCACTGAACGCGTCCTTAGAGTGCCTGTTCTGGGAATTCCTGTCACGAAGCTGGAACATTTTTTACCTGCCGTGCCGTGCCGTGATGCTGCTTTTGCTTGCGTCTTTGTGTTCGTGCAGAAATGGATGAGTACGGAACGGTACGGAACTTTTTCTTTCCGTTGCTGTATGATACAGTGCCTCGTTTGTCCATTCCCCTGCAGCAGACCACTCCCTGTCAGGCTTCGTGAGAGTGCTGAGTCAGCATGCTGCAGGTTGGATGCCCCACAAGAAGCTGCCCCCAGCAAGGGCCCATCTCATGCCCACCCACCCACCCCGCTGTCTCACAAGGCGACAAATTCATCCTTCAAGGGAAATACAGCGCCCCTTCGTTACGCGAATCTACAATTCGGCACCCAGGATACATCACACTTACAAATGATGAGGTCCACGCCAAGCGGCGAGGTGACAAGACGCTGAGACGCTACGATACTGGGTGAGAGATTGTGTACACTGATAATTTCCCTCGACGTTTCCAATCAGACAGCCCCGGGAGGGAGAGCCACCAAATTGTAAAATTGCAAACTCTCCGGTCGACGCCTCCACCCAAACCCCCTGATGCCAACGAAAAGTCATTGACTTTCAAGTACAGTAGCACAACTGTACAACAGCTCGTTGACTTCCATAACGGTACAGTACAAGTATGCAAGGGGGCGGCACCGAGCACGTTCAGGCTTGCAATAAGGACGCGACATAGAGGGATCCAGATCACACTGTTCAGTGTAGTATGTCTGTGGAGTTCGAAATTCCTTATTTATAAAGTTGCCAACTTCCCTAGTTCAATATAATATTTGAAGAGATTGACAATGCGTTTCCCGCCGAGCACCCGCGCTCTACTGCTCCACATATAATCGCGAGTAGCCCCTTATCACCGGCTGGATCCATTGTCGATTAACCACGGGTGCTCAAATGCTGGCTATCCGCGATGCAAGCTGCCGCGATATTAGCGCTGCCGGCGTCGCCCGTGCATGGCTCCGCGATCTACTGGTCGCACGAGAACCTGCTGGCTGCAGCGCTGGGCCCGCTCGTAGTTATTACGGTTCGCGCCTCTTAACGCCCTCTCGTCGTAATTACGCTTGCGTCTCGTGATTCTCTCCTCGTCGTTACCAGACCCGGCGTCTCCTCTTCTCTCCCCCATGACCCGCCGTTACCAGCCCCGTCTCCTCTTCTCTTCCCCATGCCCCGTCGTTACCAACCCCCTCTACTCGTCTCTCCGCCATGCCCTAACGTGGCTGCTCGCGCCTCCTGCTTCCGCCGCCTCAAAAATCACCCCGCGCGCCTCCTGCTTCCGCCGCCTCAGAAATCACCCCGCGCGCCTCCTGCTTCCGCCGCCTCAGAAATCACCCCGCGCGCCTCCTGCTTCCGCCGCTCCTTGCTTCCCACCCTCTCCGCATCTCCCTCCCATTGCTTGAGGGCTTTCGGTATCGCAGTTTTCTCAGCAAGCTACGATATGTCAACACCCTACATTGTCTCAGCGCCTTGCATTATGTCAACGCCCCGCACTACCTTGGCACTCTACATTATTTCACCCTATCTTTCGTTATCCCATCCTCCCAACACCCGAAACCCCGAAGTTGAACCCAACGCCTATGCACAATGCTTGCATTGACATTCCCATATGTTGCCTTCACCAATATCATCGTAACACCCTATCCCCGTCACGAAATTCCCCTTTATTTACCTTCCTACCTACCCCTCCTATTTTCCACTGTCTTCCAGAACCCGGCCAATCTCAAAGGGCCACGTGGCTTCATCCTGTTGCAGCCGTCGGATTCCCTAGATGCCCAGATCAACGGCCACGTGGCTGACTCAGGTCGGCTTACTTCTGAGAATTTCAAAAACCAGACCCAAAGTCAATTTTCAAAAACCAGACCCAAAGTCTAACTATCCTCATCTTCTCATGACCATCAATTTCCAGACTCCACTTGGCTTTTTTTTTTTTTCTGCCCAGATATCTCTCCCCATATATTGCCTGCCCATACATTGCCTCCTCAAATATCGGCTGTCCTAATTCTGCCTGCCATCTGTTTGTACCTCTCCACCGCATTCCACCCCTTTACCCAGTAGCTCCACATCTACCTCCCCCAGTCCAGTCCTCACTTCCTGCACGTGTATGCTTTGAGTCGACTCAAAACACCCCTGCACGTGTGTGCTCCAAATCGCCTGTCCCTCCCGTCCGCCGTCACGTGCCAGATCTACCTGCCCCAGTCCTCACCTTCCTATATTGTTCATACCTTCTGCCTTTCCCGCCTGTCCCTCCCGTCCGCCCTCCCCTGCCAGATCTACCTGCCCCAGTCCTCACCTCCCTGCGCCTGCATGCCGACTCTGCTCTCTCTGTTCGCTCCCTCGCCTGGTCCCCGCTACTCCCCCACTCCATAATCCAACGCGGGTATGTATGGCTTTCTCTTGACTGCCGTTGACTGCCGTTGACTGTTCTTGACTGCTGTTGAATCTGCTCTCTCCGTCCGTTCTCTCGCCTGGTCCACGCTACTCCCCCACTCCATACTGCAACGCGGGTACTGTCCTCGTTGCTTGACTGCCGTTCACCCACTCAGTGCTTCATAGGTAGGAGAGCCACACCTTGTTTGTCTTATTCCACACATTTCCCTCGTGTTATTTGTTGACTTTTGAGTTCACTCAAAGGTCTATCCCATCCCTTCCACAACTACATGCGCGCACCCATCACTCCCCTCATTCATCCTCTACCTCCACCAATCACCAGCTGCCAGCTGGCGGTGTGCTCCACGGACGGCCGCCTGAGAGTGTTCCGAGCGCCCGTGCAAGAGGCAGGGTCAAAATGGATCCAGGTGAGTTTCCAGGTAAGTTTTCAGGTGAGTTTTCAGGTGAGAGCCTGCAATCAGATGTTTCAGTAGGGAAAATGCTAAGTGTAAGAATGGCCGCTCTGTTCCGCCCATACTGTTACTCCTTGTTGCAGTTTGGGAGGGCGTGTTTTAAAATAAGTGTTTGGGAGGCGACTGCCCTTCTCTCTCTTGCCCACGTGTCCACGTGTCTCACTCTTGCCCACAGGTGGCGGATCTCTCTGCCTCGCTTGCTGCTCATTTGAGAGACACGTGGCAGAGCCAGCCACGTGGCAGTGATGAGAGGATGACACGTGGCAGCAATGATAGACTGCCTCGTGGCAGGGATGACAAGGAGACACGTGGAGCACAGGTGGACAAGAGAAATGAGAGGGACAGCAGCAGCGCCAGTGCACGTGTGACAGGTGGGAAAAGGACACGTGGCAGAAATCAGAGCGAGCAGGGAAGCTTAGGGAAGAAGGAGGGGGAGGAAGTGAGAAGAGCAGGGAGGAAGCGGAGAAGGGCGGAAAGGTATGGGGAGAGTGCGGAGGAGGGAGAAGGGAAAGAGAGTGAAGGCAGTGAGGAGGAGGATGAGGACGAGGGGGAAGAGTGGGGGGGAGAGGAGGAGGAGGAGGAGGAGGAGGAAGAGGAAGAGTTTGAGGAGGAGGATTGGGAAGAGGAAGAAGATGAGAGGGAGGCGGGTAAGAAGGCTGGGAAAGCCACAGCAGCAGGAGCAGGAGCAAATCGGACAAAATCTGCCGGACGGGCAGGTCTCAGTTCAGAGGATGCCGGCCAATCGCATCGCATCACTCCAATTCAGTTTGCTGCCCGGCACAAGCGGTTATTTGCCACCTGTGCGGCGTGGTCCCCACTGGTGTCGCTGACGTGGCAGGTGGTGAACCAACAACGCACCAATCAAGAGGATGGAGAGAAAGGGGAGAAAAAGCAAGGGGACGAAAGACAAAAAGATGGGAAACAGGAGCATGGAATTCCCGTGACCTTCTCGTGCCTGGTGTCTGGGTCCCAGTCTGGCCAGTCTAGGGAGGAAACGGAAGGGAAGGGAAAGCAAGGGCATGGGAACGAGGAGCATGGAATCCCCGTGACCTTCTCGTGCCTGGTGTCTGGGTCCCAGTCTGGCCACATCTCCCTCTGGCTCCACTCC